TCCTCGTGATGGAGTATGATGTTTCATCCGATGGCCCTCTTGGTTTTGCTATGACAGAGCCACCCTCGCTCTCTCTCTCTCTCTCTGTCTCTCCCTCTCATTCATCACTTCTACCACTCATAAATGTGTTGAAACAAACATTAGAATGAATAAAATTTATTTGTCAATGGGAGTCATTGTCTCACGTGGATATCAATGCACTTGGAACTCGTTCAACAGCAGATTCTAATTGGAAAACTTGAAGAAAGAATCAGGGTAAGATATACTCCTCAATCTGGAATCACTCTTATGTTACAGAATGGAATGGGGTGGTCTAGAGCTTCGTCATTTGTGTATAGACCAAGGCAGTGAAAGTTATTTTCCATTTGCAAACACCATATGAATAGATGGACAGTTTAATATTCTACTCGTTTGAGTCCTTTCTAAAAACCAATGATCATTCTGCAGGCCCCCCAAAACTGTCTATTTGTTGACATGAATAAATATTACCTATCCGTTTTCACAATTGTATGCAATATATTACTAATTAACCTTATCAGTCAAGTCTTGATAGGGAACCTTTAAATCTCATGAATTGTTTAATAAATAGAGAATAAATCAATCAATCAATCAATAAGAAGATTTCGATTAGTTTCCTTATCATCAAATGTATGCAATTAACCAACTACCACGATGAATCCTACCATCTTAATTAAATAAAATTTAATTATGTATGAATGTTCATCAAAAAAAACTTATTCAGTCCATAGAAGAGCAATTATTATTCATCTCTAAATTTCAACTATATTTGTAAAAGTAAAACGGCTAAATACAATTAATTATCACTTGGACCTTTATTTCATTTATTGGATTATTTCGATTTTTTAATTATTTAAAATATTTGTAGAAATGTGTGTTAGAATTGGAAGTTGGGAAGGGGGATGCACTAAATATGTATGAAATTTGAATGGTTGTTGCACCATATGGTAGTAGATGAATAGAATATCCAAATGGCAAAATGTGAGCCTAATGGATTCCAAATGGTAGAAAGTTGAACAAGTGCTTTGATTTTAGGGAGATATTGGAGCTGAGTGAAGCCTTGAAAATGGAACTAGTTTTGAAATAGATTCTAATTCAATATTGTGATTCTTTGTTAATAAGTTCCTAGTTTGAGGGTAAGTAATGCATATATATATATATATATATATATATGTGTGTGTGTGTGTGTGTATAGTTTGTCAATAACAATACAACAATTGATCATTTGGTACAATACATGATAGTTTGGCCAATAAAGGAATTTTTACAAACAAGTACTGATCAATTTTTTTGAGGTGGGGTGACAAACATACAAATATCTTGTAGTTATTTGCTAAAGAAGGGTTGTAAATAGTCTATGAATGCAATGTCCATGTTCAAATGAGGTTAAAGAGAGCAGCCCAAATGGCATCAATTTTATCTGGATAGAAAAGGGGGTTGGAGGGGGGGGGGTGCAAGAAATGGCCAAGGAACATGAAAAAAGTGACTCTATAACAACAAAAAATAATAATAATAATAATAATGACAACAGGAACCTAAGATGGAACAACAAAGAAGGTAGTGGGCGTGGGGCACAAAGAAGCCAAAAGAGAAGCTTAAAGAAGAACTAAAGAAGGGGAAAGTGGAGACAGAGAAAGAGCATTGAGAATGAGTCCCATTGCATCTCTGTTTTCATACCTCTTTTCATAAAAAAACATTTGAAACATCAGACTCTGACAAAATTGTAAAATGTTTTTGAATATGCTTTAAATAAGATAAAAATGGCACATATTTATAATTATAATAATTATTATTATTTCCTCACACTTCATCTATTGGGGCTTGTTTGGAGAGTGTGCACAATTAGTCATTGTACAGAGACTCAATGTGATTGAATCAGGCCTTGCATGCTACCATCACCACCAGTTTCTGCCAAAGCTTTCTTCACTTATTTATTTGTTTTTTGTGTCTAGTTCCTGAGTCCCCTGAACATTATGAACAATGTTGAGGTCCATGCAGAAGTGGGGACGAGACAAAGATCTTCCCATCCAAGCTTGAGGGCACCAAACTCTTTCAGCAACATGTGATCCTTGCTACAACAGAACCCCTGAGATAGCAGTAATGCCACTTGGTGGACTGCATTGGCACTGACGGCTACAACATTGATGCCTGCTTTGCTGAGCTTGTCCCCAATTGAGCTGGACCTCCGATGGAAGTATATTCTTGATCTCACATGACATTAGTTGTTGCTCTGCCATGAGATGCTCCAGGCTTTTGTTGTTGTGGTTTGCCCCCAAAGCAAAGTGGTACTGAAGCGCGTCAATGAATTGGTTATGAAACAAGCCTCTGTGGAGGAGGTCTTCCTCCACCATGGTGATAATCTTCAGCAAAAGCTTTTGCATCAATCTCAATGTGGTAGAGTGACAACTTGAGACATCATATAGTGGGAGATGCATTAAAATAACATCAAAATGGCTAGACTTGTGCTAGGGGAAGAAAGAGAGGTGGCGGGACCCACAATAGGGCAAGGGAGAGAAGGAGGGGGACCAGGACCTATGCCATGACAAGGGAAAAGGAATTTGGATGAGCCAATTGGAAGCCTTGGGTTTAGGGGAAAATGTTTACAATAAATAATTTGGATTATTTTATTTTATTTTATTTTATTTTTTGGAATTACAGCCTAATATTGAATCCAATTAAATAGTGGTGCTGAGAACTTTAGTATAAGGATATATATATATAAGGATATATATATATATATACACACACACACACATAATGAAACAAATTATTAGTTTTCATGTTCCTCACCAAGAAAAATGATTGGCTTTGAACACATATAATGTTCTAAGGTTTTTAAAAACACCACAACTATAAATGTAAATGATTGATATCAACAAAAAAAAAGTTTATTAGTTTTCAGAAACATGAATTACACGTGTTTTAATCAAACACTAAGCTAAAAAAGTATGTTTTACCAATCCTTACTTCTATAAAATCATATAGTTGTAAAGGAAGTTTTTATAAAAATGTATTCAAAAGGTAAAGGCTGAAGAAACATGGAACAAAACCATGCATTCTTTAACCAAAAAAAAAAAAATGTAACAGTAATGATAACAAGAGTTGAAAATGTCAATTTAAAAAATAGATAAGAAAGTAGTTATGGATTTAGTTAATAAGAGCTTCTTAATTGTGGTTTAAAACCTTGTATGTGTTTATTTATGTACATTATTTTAATTTCATAGTTTTTATTATATATATTTTTTTGTTTTGTCCTTTATATATATTTGAATGTTATTATGACTTGTTCAAGAATATGATTGAATTTCAGTTAAACATATATATATATATATATATATACACTAGTGGTTAAACTCATTGGCTTTGCCAACATCAAGTACATTTTTGGCAGCCAATTAAAAAAAAAAAAAAACTTGGCATCCAATTATTGCCCTCATTGTGATTTAAAAAGAAAAGAAGAAAGAAAAGAAAATACACACACACAATATACCTTGGCAGCCAATCACTGCTATAGCCAATGAGATTTCGGATGCTACAAATTGACATAGGCTGCTTGATTTCTTTATATATATATATATATTACTATCACTTCCTTAGTGATGTCTCCAGTGCTTGGTATTCAGCTACATTTCTGCTTGAATTTTCAAATTGAAAGGAAGTTGAAGTTAGTCAAGCCAATATTCTCAAATATCATGCTTGAAATGCAACAATTGTGGAACCAATGGATGAAATGAAAAAAGTTTTCTTCAACAATATTTCATTCCATTAAACTTGATCAGGCAAACAAAACTACCTTTCAACAGTATATTTGCAAAGACCCATTAAACATATTACTATTTTTTACCATTATTATTGTTGCTATTTAAAAATTATTATTAAATTTATGGTGGTGTTGTTGACATGGGTTTGGATTGGAGCAGTGAAGAGCATCCAATGATGGAAGCTTGAATGCAGATGATCAAAGCAATCCCCCCCCCCCCTTCCCCACAAATCTTCCTCCACTGGACAGCCAGTTCAATTTTATAAAAAAGATCTCATCAAATAACAAAACAAATGAATACATAAAAACAGCCCCACATGTTTATGTTTGATTCATTCATTGATCTTCAACTTCCTTTCTTGACCTTATTTTTGTCTCATCCAATTCATTGTCTGCACACCAAAACAGAGAAAGGGCAAAAATGTGATAGAGGGTTGGGAAGAGAGAGAGAGATATTTTGTATGAGAAGAGAGAAAGGAATTGTACATAGACACTCCTTTTTAACATCATGCAGCAGGAGGGATGATGATGTGGAGGATGGTGAGTAGTGGTACCTGTCTTTCACCTCATATAAAAATTCCACCCTCAACCCCACTTTGCAATAATAATAATAATGAATGGTATGTGATTTATCAATGTGTCTATATATATATATATATATATATATATATATATATCGTTATATATATTTCATGTCATTGTTGTATATATGAAAGAGGAGAAGAGGGGGAGGGGAGGGGAGGGGAGGGTTAGAGGAGGGGGCTCCTCCATGTGGCAAGGAAGGTTGGTAGTTGCAAGGCAAGGCAAAACTTTGGGGGGGGGGGGGTGTTTGCGAAGATGAACAGATGGATGAATCCATGGATAAATCTAGTGGTGATCTCGTCCGCCAACGTGCCGCGCGAGGCTCTTTGTCCGAGAAGACCTGCCCGCCAGATGGCAGTCGGGAGGGGGAGGAGGACGAATCTCGTCTGATGTGGACACAGGGTGGCACCCCTCCACGCTGGCAAGCAATGATTGATACACGCTGAGTACGGGGTATCAACTTCAGTAGTATGTCGAGGGTATCAACAGAAGAGGCAGGTACGATGGCGCCGCACTTCAGGGTGGAGAGAATCTAAGGAAATCCGAAGGGAAGTGCAGCAGAAGCAGAGGACAAAGTCGAAGACGAAGACGAAGACGTAAACCACAACAACTCGGAGGTGGAGGAGGCAGCACAGTATAGTAGTTGTAGTAGTCGTAGAGGAGGAAGAAGAAGTGGACCATGGCCAATCTGCAATGTCCACTTCGCCCCCACTAACGACGAACGGCGGCCGACTGAGGGTGGCGAGGGCCTGGGATGTTATCCAGCGCAATCACCCACGTTGCCATGGGACGAGCAGTATAAAAGTAAAGCCTGTCCGACCTGATCTGACCCATTGCTCACTCTCACTCTCTCTCTCATTCATCCACCCACCAGGTGCACTGTTGTGCTCCTGTGCACTATGCTATTTCGGGTGACAGTAGCTTCATGAAGAGCTGCTCGGCACTGCATTCCCTCACTCCTTGTCCTGCCACTCTATCCCTGACCTTCCCTTCATTTCTCTCGTGTCATTCCTCCTCCCCGCCCTCCTTCCTCTGTTTCTGGACCTCCTGCTCTGAACTGGAGCGTTGTAAGGATAGCCTTTTATTCGCACCTGTATGCTAGAAACATTTGTTCACACTCGATTCTCAGAGCGTGGACCTGTATTCATTATCTTCATTATCACCATAACGAGTGCTGTATGTTTTGAGCTAGGAGAACTAAGCTTGTAGTTCAAGCGATTGTAGTGTTTGTGTTCGGGCCCTTCAAATTGTGTTTTCCTTCGGTGTACACAGTATCTTATTTTGTGGATGACGGACCTCCATTTGTAACAAATTTGAGAAGGCGGAGGTAGCAGGAAAGCCAGACTTACTGAGAAGAGGTGGGTTTGAAGGGAAGACAAGATGGCAGGGGGGGGTGTCGTTACGGCGGGGGAGATCAAGCACTACCCCGGCCGAACAACCTTCTTTGTGATTATGGTCTGTATAGTGGCGGCATCCGGAGGTCTCATGTTCGGATACGATGTCGGAATTTCAGGTAATTCGTTTCCTGGCCAGTTTATTTCAAATTCTTGCAGTCGAAAGATGCCAGTTTCTAGCTTTGCACTCCTAAGGGCTTGGAGCAGCTAAGTACAAGTTGCAGCAATTGCTGGATGCAGCGCCGACCTCGGAACGGAAGAAAATGCTGTCGGTCCTCGCTCACTTGAAAATTATCTGCCTGAATAGACTTTGTTGGGATTGAACGGGATTCACAGATACCGTTTGTGGCATGTGGGTGATACATGTTACAAGGTCGGACGTGCATTGTTCCTACATATTCTGTGGCGCACTGTATCTCCATTGCTCCGTCAGAGATAATTCGGGTGTACTGACGAGATGAATTGCAATGTTTCTTTCCCAGGGGGTGTCACGTCTATGGACGAATTTTTGGCGAAATTTTTTCCTGCGGTGTTGGCGAAGAAGCGAGCAGAGGCAGCTTCGGAGAGCGCCTACTGCAAGTATGATGACCAGAAGCTGCAAGCCTTCACATCGTCGCTGTACATTTCCGCACTCGTGTCGACATTCTTCTCGTCGTACACCACCAGGCACTACGGCCGTAAATTTACCATGCTCATAGCTGGTTTCGCCTTCTGCTTCGGCGTCATCTTCACCGCCGCTGCGCAAGAAATCATCATGCTAATCATAGGGCGCGTCCTCCTGGGTTGGGGTGTCGGATTCGCTAACCAGGTAATTCACCTCTACCTGCAGGCTTCTCTCTTCATCGTTTCATGCGTTTACCAATTCTTGTAATCACATGAGCTAATGTTTCGGTGTGTTCACAGGCTGTTCCGTTGTACCTCTCCGAAATGGCACCCTCCAAGTGGCGAGGTGCGCTCAACATCCTCTTCCAATTGGCGGTGACCATTGGCATCCTGTTCGCCAGTCTCGTGAACTACGGCACAGAGAAGATGGCTCGCAACGGGTGGCGTGTTTCCCTCGCCATCGCCGGCCTGCCTGCGATCTTCATCACCCTCGGAGGATTACTCCTGCCAGACACACCGAATTCCCTCGTGCAACGCGGCAAGCACGAGAGCGCCCGCCAGGTCCTACGCAGGATTCGTGGCGTCGACAACATTGAGGAAGAGTTCGACGACATCCTCATTGCCAGTAACGAAGCCGCCTCCGTGAAGCACCCCTTCCGCAATATCTTGAAACGCCGCAACCGCCCTCAGCTGGTCATCTCCATGGCTCTTCAGTTTTTCCAGCAATTCACTGGAATTAATGCTATTATGTTTTACGCGCCTGTCTTGTTCCAGACGCTGGGATTCGGGAGTTCCGCTTCACTTTACTCTGCTGTCATCGTTGGAGCCGTGAATGTGCTGGCCACTTGCGTCGCTATCGCTGTTGTGGATCGATTCGGTCGACGATGGTTGCTCTTGGAAGCTTGCATCCAAATGTTCTTAGCACAGGTATCTTCCACAACCTTTTAGGATTCCGAACATTCGTTGCAGGGATTGATCATTTTTTGTACACTTCGCATGCTGGTTGCTGAAATTGGGAATCTTGGTGAGCAGACGGCGATTGCAATTATCCTGGCGGCGGGATTGAAGGGGACCGAGATGCCGGAGTATCTGGGATGGATCGCGGTGGTATTGATTTGCGTGTACGTGTCTTCTTTCGCGTGGTCTTGGGGTCCACTTGGATGGTTGATTCCAAGTGAGATTTTCCCCTTGGAGACGCGTTCAGCAGGGCAAGCCATCACGGTGTCGACCAACATGGTCTTCACCTTCCTCATCGCGCAAGTGTTCCTGTCAATGTTGTGCGCGTTCAAGTGGGGCATCTTCCTCTTCTTCGCCGCGTGGGTGGTGGTGATGTTCCTTTTTACGTACTTTTTAATTCCCGAGACGAAGGGCATCCCCATCGAGGAGATGGATCTCGTGTGGACCAAGCACTGGTTCTGGAAGCGCTACGTCCCCTACCCTGAGACTCTCGCTCACACCAGCGGCATCCCCATGGGAGATATGAAGGTCAGCAAGCTGGAGAATGGCTCCGCAAATGGCCACAAACTGTAAATTAGATGAGTGCACAATAGTAACGGAGATGATGATGATAAAGAAGAAGAAGATGAAGATGAAGTAGGAGAAGGAGATCAGTTTTCACGTGCTTGATTGATATGCTTGTGTAGCGGGACAATTTGGAGTTGTCAAAGTGGCATTGATTTGCATGAGGTAGTCCGATTGATTGATCAGGAGTGGGAGACGAGTGTACATAGTCATCTGCTGATGCAGTCTTTCTGCATTGAGCAGTTTTTTCGTCTTGGCGATGGAAAAGACATCTCTGTCTGTAGCAGAGCTAGACTCGAACCAGGTGCGCTCAAATGAGTGCTGGCGATTTCAACTCATCTGGAGATGAGCTACTTTGTTATGTTAGCCCAACTTAATGTTCTCTCTCTCTCTCTCTCTCTCTCTCTCTCTCTCTTTTTCGCATATTTTTGAACCCATGTCAATGGCTGTGTCAGGCATCTCTTTTGTGGAAAGTCGTGTGGATGGACTTGGAGAGCAGCAGGGTATCTTTTAAGCTTTGATGAATTTTGCTTCCGTGTTTTAGACCCAAATTAGAAGTATAATTGACAGGATTGTCACATGCACTCCAGCGGCTGAAGTGGTGCCTGCCATTAGACACGTAGTACTCCTCTTCCAAGCAAGCTTTAGAAAGTTTGCCTAACTAAAGTTGGTCGTTCTTGAGACTGGAATAGAGGAACAAAGGTGGAAAAAAGTGTACGGGCAACTCATGGACACTCACCCTGGAGGCATGCCGCAAGAACTCTAAGGCGTCACGTTCCTCCCAAAGTCCACAGAAATCTCTCTTCATATTCACTGAAGATTCTGGCATTGATGGACATTCATATGGCCAGGTGTCCTAATGGATAACATGATGCGCAACACCAGACAGCGGTGCAGAAAGTGGGAAACCTTTCCGTATGCGGCAACTGCAAGCAAATCCACCTCCCCCGTCACATCATGTCGGGATATCATTTCCCAGTTGATACCCAAAATTAAAATCAAATTCACACTACCAAAGAGCAAACATGCTCTTTTGTGCACCCCAAAAGGTTGCCGCGTAAGCATTCAGAGATTGGGCGACTTCGAGTTTTCGTCAAACGGAACTTGTTGGAAGTTTGATCGCTAAGCTGTACTGATAATTACAATTCCGTTGACAGGATAAATTTCGTTGTCACGTTTCATACTTTTGAAGGGATGATAACATGTCCCGTTGGAGACTAGGAAAGCCAGCGTAGCTTTGGTTTTAACAAAACTTGTGACGCAGTAAATGTTCGGGACGAATCTGGTCTGAGATGCTTCACTTGGAAATTGTAATCTTTATTGAACATGGTCCCCTTTTTTTCTCATTTTTAGTAAGAAAGGCTTGTGAGTTTTCATTGGTGACATCTTATATTAACTCTACTCATTCATGAGTTTATCCATACTGTCACAAATTTTCATTTTCGTCGTATCAGAAATTGAGAAAGCAGGAACACAACGATGATGATGATGATGCTGCTGCCGCTGTCTCTGATCTGACACTGATATCCAGTTGTTTTGATGGTGGTAAAGTAAATCGTCACACAATTATTGAAGAGTCTCAGTCCACTGTTATGTTGTCAAGAATGGGCGGACCCAATTCATGAAATACATAGTATGCTGTCCACCCTCGCCATATTAATCTATGGTCGCTTGGGAAGATATGCCAGATGCCTTAAAAAACCATGTAAAACAATAGCAATCGTTGTCACTCTCCTTTTACTTGTTACGCTGATTGTATTTTGAAAAGTGATGTGGATAACGGGCATGACGTGTCAACCGATATGAATTGATCGCCATACAAGTCTGAAGCCGTCAAATCCCTGAATGGATTAATATACTTGGGAGCAGAAATAACCAATTTGTGTCACAAATTATTAGTTGTAAGCGCACCTCGCGAGGCTGAATCACCGCCATTAAGTAACTTGGAGAAACAGAAGCACGAGGGAGGCAGAAGGCAGGGCCAAGAGAGAAGCAAGCCTAGCAAGATTCGTGCATGAGAGACACACTCCCTGCGATGCCATGTGTGCGGAATGTGTCGTGCATCGGAGAAGATGGAATTTAAACCTCACAGTGGCGAGGCGAGGTGCTGGGCAGCAGAATCCTAACGAAGTGAGCAGTGAGGCGTTGAGAAAGGAGCTGGCACCGCGCGTACCTCAGATTGCCCGAATCCCCGAGAGGCAGCTACAGTAAGTTGAAAGCGGATTGCGCCCCATGCCTTCCCCTCCTCTCCTGGACTTCCCATCGTTTGTTCTCCGATTTGTCGTTTTCTTAATCCCAGAATCGCATCGGCTATCTTCTTGGTTGCTCCGCTGCAGCGTGGATTCAGGCAGACAACTTGCGAGTATCTACTATCACCTCCATTCGCATCACCCACGAATCATGACCCCTCGTTGCAACTTCAACCCTACTCTGGCGCTAATTTGCCATTCTCCGCTGAAGTAGTGCAATTGTGATCGGAGTAGACGAAGTTGGGCCGTCGCCTGGAGTCTCTGGTGCCATATTCCTCTTCAGCCCTGCTTCTCATTAGTCTAAATTTGGCCTCTTCCCGGCTGGTGATCAGTTTTGTGAATGAGACAAATGGTTGCTCTAGTGTCCGAGTGAGATTTTTTGAGAGGTAGGTTTTAACTTTTGGGAGGTTTGGTTGCTTGGTTCTTCTGTAGTGTGGTTTTAGGACTTGAGTGATTCGGGATCGAAGCAGCTGCAGTTTCGGTTTGCAGAAGCCTGAAGTCGCAATCGTAGTGACGGTCTGAACCTGCGGCCTGTGGTTGATATAGAAATGCCATTCTCTGTTGCAAATTCGGGACAGGATGGAGTAGAGGTGTGCAAAGGTGGACAGAGCGTGACAGCGCCACGCCTTCAGAATGGTGATTGATGGTATTGTGTGGGATGAGTTTGGGGTGGGCAGGAAGCGAGAGGGTGGGAGAGCACGGTGGTGAGCATGGAGGACAGCGAGAGCAATGCAGGGGTCGATAGTGGGAGCAATGAGTTAGGGAAACCGTTGTTGAATGAAGGAGCTGGGAGATCGAGACCTGTCCATAACCGACGGCATAATTTAAGGTCAAGGAGGGACGCTGTCTTGCCAAATTCCGCATATGCTATACTCTCTACTTTTGTAGTGGCCCTTGGACCTCTGTCTCTGGGTTTTGCGGTATGTTGATTCTTTCATGCCTTCAGACTTTCAAGTTTTATTGATGAGTAAGTTAATTCATTAATTTATTAATTTGTTAATTACTGCGTTGGTTTGGTCCAGTTCTGTCTAATAAAACCTGGCCTAAAAAACGGACCACTTGAGAGGGCAGGTTTGAATTAGGGGATTTATGCGACATTGCCTCGTACGCCTGGCATTTTCTCTGTTGACTGGTTTTGTTTTTCGTTGTCTTGTGAAATTGCACAGCTTGGTTTTACTTCCCCAACTCAAGCCGCAATTACGAGGGATTTGAATTTTACGATTGCTCAGGTGAGAAATACGCACCATGTTGAAATGCTTTAGGAACTGGTATCGATCTCTCTGGTATTGGTTGGGAAGCCGTTAGGAGCGGGTGATTCTAGTTCAAATGGCCAGCCTGTTGTTTCTGCCCATGTGGATGCATTCTCTTTTCCTCTCTGCTCAGGTCATAATTGTAATTTGGACGACTGTTGTCTTCCTTGCAGTTCTCGACATTTGGATCCATTCTAAATGTGGGTTGTATGTTTGGCGCAATTGTTAGCGGTCGTTTAGCTGACTACTTTGGGCGGAAACTAGTAAGTTACTCTTTGCTGCGGTTCTTCTGGTTGGCACTTTGTTCTCTTGTCTAAGATGATGCCAAGATGATACCTAAAGTCGATAGTCTACCATGTGATGTTATGTGCCTGACTTACAACATTGCTTGCTTTTGCTGAAACTACAGGCATTATTAGTGGCTGTTGTCCCCGCGATAGCAGGATGGATTCTGATTGTGTTTGGCAAGGTTAGTAGCTGTTTTAAAATCTTTAGTATATTATCAGATATCATATATTGGTCCCGACTGCGATGTTCAGTCTATTTGATGTAACTTGTTGGTTGGAAGCACCAAATAGACCGATGGCGCAACATTGAATAAACCTACTCAACGTTTTTGAGTAGCTCTCGAACGTTACTATGCAGACTGTAATCCACGCAACTATTTCTGTTTGCAGGCTGCAACTCCTTTGATTATTGCAAGGACCCTTGTTGGTTTTGGAGCAGGAATTATCTCTTTCACTGTAACTTCCTAAACTTTGTGCCTCTACGCATTTGAAGTAGAAAAATTGAGATGTTTGTAAAAACAACCCTATCTGAAGGTACTATCGTGCACCTCAAAAGACAGCCGTTGCACTCCTATTTGATCATGCTTGGTAACTCATGTTGTCGTCCCATTGTTGCTACTCTCCTTTTCAGGTACCCATGTATATAGGAGAGATTTCACCAAAACATTTGAGGGGAACACTAGGAACTATGAATCAGGTGCTGAGTTCTTCCAATCACAGTTTCTTTCTCTGCTGTGAACTTTTGTTATCACTTGCTCTTCTACATTTACATTGTACTGTTACTGAAAGGGTTTGAATGCATCTTCTCACTAGTTGTGTTGAAACAACGACCAGCTTGCCATTACAATCGGAATCACTCTCTCATACATCTTTGGCATGTATCTCAACTGGCGTTCTCTTGCCTTACTTGGTAAGTCACGTAACTATTTTTTATTTGTTTTTAGGGAGCAAGATGGGTACATGGGGAGTGGTGCAGGTCACGATAACTTGGACGCCCTGCAAATGGCAGGAGTGTAAAGTTGGTGACTTATGAGAAGTCTAGCTGTCCTGATTGCAAGTGCACGTGGAAGTAACATAATTAGTGGACCATGAACAAATACAAGAAATGGAGCTTAATATCAATGTGCATTGTACTTTCTGAATCTGTTAGAAACTCGTAATATGTTGCTAATGTGTATGAGTCTTGCTTTGGATGATTCGAGCAGGTGGCATACCGGAGCTCGCGTTGATCGTTGGACTGCTGTTTATTCCTGAAAGTCCGCGCTGGTTGGTATGATGCTCGTGTATATTTTCTTTGAAACGCCCACATATTTACCCTCTTGCAGCTTGTGCCGGCATCCTCTCCATCGGGTGCAGTATAACTGTAATTCTTGATTATGTTGGGCATCTTCCTTAATTCAATCACTGTGAGGTCAAGACAAGAGGGCGCTGTCAGTTTGTCCAATTTCGGAAATGTGAAATAGAATATTGTAGGATTACAGTAATCCCTGTGTGTGCGCAGGCTAAAGTGGGGAAGAGAGAAGAGCTTTCTTCATGTTTGCAAAGACTGAGGGGTAGAGAATTCAGTATCGCAAGCGAAATTGCAGAAATTCAGGTATGCATGTATGAATGACACCCATGTTCGTTGTTCACACAGTAGCATAACTTCACCGAATTAAGCGCCCGTGCTTTTTCGATGCAAATGCAGGCGGCTATGGAAGCCTCAAATGCTATGCCCAGCGTTAAATTGAGCGATCTGAAGCAACGAAAACTCTTTCGACCACTTCTTGTGAGTACTGTAGATTGCAATTGGATGTACGCATCATCTACTTCATGTCTTTAATTCGAAGTGTAAATTTTCCACTTCACTGCTGTTAATTTTCGCTGGGCTGAATATTCTTTTTTCTCTAGGCTGGAGTGGGCTTGATGGTTCTTCAACAATTCTCTGGCATCAATGCGGTCATGTTGTACTCAAGCTTTATCTTTAGTACAGCTGGTATGTTGCTAAACCTAGTGGAGCTTGATAAAAGCAGTTTCGCAGATGAAGTCACTAGGAATTCTTATGTGCAAACTTGCAAGTGACAGCAGAAATACATCTTGAGACAGCTCTGTTTTTTGTGATGACATGGCGTGCTCTTATTGCTGCATACAATTATTCAGTTCAGTTCGACCTTTTATGTTTCTGATCTTTATAATATGTGAAAATTTAGTCGAGAAAATGCATCATAGTTGCTTTTCCTATATCCTTAGATTTAAGAGTCTGACCTTTCCTTCAACATGCTGCAGGTGTCCATAATCCAGATGTGGCTACTGTTGCTCTGGGAACCCTGCAGGTGATTGCTACTGCCTTGAGGACATGCTGTCTTGGCTTGAAGGGTGCATGAAATATCTAGTAATTCACGACATGGGTGAAGGCCAGTTGTTGATATTATTTGTTTGATTCTCTTCTGTAGGTTATTATGACTCTTGCTGCTGCTGGACTGATGGACAAAGCAGGACGACGTATTTTACTCATGGTAATCTCAAACTAAGCAAAAGGAGAGTTCATGGTCATGATGTTGCCATGTAATTTGTAAACGGAACAAAAAAAAAATAAAAAAAAATAAAAAAACGAGGATAAGAATAGAAAGATTGGTATTGCTACCCTGGGATTCTCAACCTCCTGAGCTCATTGTCTATATGGTTGGCTCAGTTGAAAAGGGTTTGTGCGGTTAATTCTTAGAATTGGGATTTGTGCGTTTGTACATAGGTTTCTGCAGGAGGCATGGCTCTCAGCTGCTTCCTCGTGGGGTTTTCCTTCTACTTACGGGTTCGACCTTTGCTACTGAAGCTTCTCACTTGAGCTATATTTTGGACCTTGTCGAATTTGATTATCTTATATTTTATCATGTATTTGTGCTTTTCCAACTGTGTATAGATTGGTCTGGTAGTGTTTTAAGGTTCATGTGATTTCCTGCTACAGGATTTGCAACCAGACATGTCAGAGGCATTAGCCACTTTTGACGCTTATTTAGCTCTTGTCAGCCTTCTGGTAAGGTTTCTACATCCATTCCCCTCAATTGTCAGTCGTTACATGCCTTTCACCGTTGCCCTACTCGTAATTTTGGTATTAAACTTGATCTGTTGAGTTTGAGCATGTCCTGTTGGTTGAATGGCAAACTTTCGAAGTCTTTTGGGAGTTTGTTCGTCAAGTCGCTTAATGGAAGCGTGGTACTTGTGCAGGTATACATCGCAGCATTCTCGTTGGGAATTGGAGCCATTCCATGGATAATAATGTCTGAGGTGAGACTTGATATCCAGGAAGTGCTAGCAAGTCAGAAATTCATCCCTCCCTAGTGCTTGAAAACACTCTGCTTTCAACTTGGTTGCTGTCAATCTCTCGTCATCTTAATATTCATATATGTAAAATGTACAGATTTTCCCCGGATACGTGAAGGGAATTGCTGGAAGTGTTGCAACTCTCGTGAACTGGTTCTGTTCGTATGCCGTCACCATGATCTTTAACTACATGCTTCTGTGGAGCTCAACAGGTGCTAAAAATTGTGCCAGTAATGAAAAATCTCATTTTGTTGAACAGCTGATACAGAGATGGATGCAGAAATTAATTGACATTGCCTCGTTTTTGTGGATTTTCTGGCTGCTAACGGTAGCACTTACTCTCGTGAAACCTTGTACGTGTAGGGTCGTTTTGGATCTTTGCTGCCGAGTGTGTGGGAACGGTCGTGTTCGTTGCTCTGTTTGTACCGGAAACACGTGGCCGGACGCTGGAACAGATCGAAGCTTCCTTCAAGTGAGATCAATCTGCCAGCAAATTCGACTACAACAAATAATTCCCAATTGCACCAGCAACGGCAACGTAGGACGAGCTTCGGAGGAGAAACACTTTTTGGCTCTGATGAATAGATCTTCTAGTGTTAAGGTCCCACTGTGACCGCTATTTCTGATTTGTTCGATTTCTCATCGTCCATCTCATCCTGGGACTCGGCGAAACAAATATCCTCTGCTTAAGCTGTATGAAAATGAGCTTTGCTCAGGTGTGGAAACTGGTTGAAGGTCGTCGCGAAGCATCTCATTCAACTCCACTGAGGGATTCTCAATGCTCATGCTGGCTCTGTTGATGCATCTGTTAGCCTTCTCTAGCTCTTGTTAGAGGCCTCTTCTTCTCATGAGAACCCAAGTTGTCTTATCTTCATTCACAGATCCTTTAGGACTTCGTTTTAGTACTATACATGTTCCTGTTTATAAATGATGATGATCGGTAGCCATGTGACTCTGCCATAACACTTAATTAATGAGTAGCGTCACTTCCTCAGTAGCTTTAATACATGACCTGAATTTGATTAGTTCTCGACTGTTTTTGATTTTGCAAAATTGTATTGATGAACGGATGGTACAACTTGAAATGAATGTAGCAAACTGTTCGCTCAAAATCGGTATGATTTATTTTTTCTAGCACTTAACAGTAACAAGATAAATCTGATTTCAAGTCCTAATGAATCTTTTTGTGGTGTCCTAGAAATAATTTCAGGCATCTACTCGTGGTATTTTAGCAATTTCCAATGGTTTTCTTAATTTCTGATTTTCAACCAATCAACCCATGTATTCAAAAATCCATCGACATATTAACTAGATCGATGAATCGAAATCCAACAGGAACTTCAACTCGCGAAGGAATTGTAACCGATGCTGCACGCTGCAACGATGGTCATGGTGACAGCGGCGACGGTTCATCTTTCGCAGCTGTTGGGAAAATATCGCACTACGCGTGTATCAGATATTGAAGAAAATAAACTTTCCGGCGGACTGACCTTTCCCTATGAACGACGAGAGGCCAGAAGTTCACCCTCCGAATTAAGAAGCTGATTCGGCGGGGTGGTGCAAATGTGGGAGCATTATCGCTGCGCCCGGCAACAAGCACCAGATAGCGCAGTACCCATTCCAAGTCCTTGTGCGGGTGGCGGCATGTCCGAAGTTTGGGGGAGATGGTTATCAAGTGGCGATGAATTGCTGCATAGTTGCAGAATGGATCTTCCGTGAATCTGAGTTTGTAAAGCCGATTGTTGAAAGGAGTGTGTTTGAACCCCACGTCTTTGAAGACACTTTGAGGTGTCATTTGAGGTTAGCTCGCTTGGTGTTGTCCGGATTGAGGTCTTCTTCTGTTCGCCCACAATCGAAGTTGGTTGTGGAAGTTGTGTAACTGGTTGCATTTCCGCAACCATACGCTCTTCCCTAGGTCTCCTAGATTCCTAGATGGTTTAGGAGCTTCATATCTTGAGGTCGTAATTGCCCACTCTCGGGTTTGATAAAGAAACAATGGCCAGATCCTTAACGGCAAATAGGTTTCAACCTCGACGGCGGCATTGCGTCATGCACACTAGTAGCTCGGCGTAATACTCACGCGGGCTGTGATATGAAAGTTGCCTTGGCGTCCAGACAAGGAATTCTATCATTCTTGGTAAGCTTTCACAAGTTTGCCGACACCGTTTGCGCATTGGCTGTGCTCTGTGGTGAAGTACGATGAATCCAGCGTGGATCAAGCATGTTTACATTAAATCCAAGGCTTGTTTGATACGTTTTCTATGGCACAGGTTTCCCCAATGATGATTGTTCCTAATATTCTTGGTGTTTTGTAGAATATTGTGCTGTTAATTTCATTGTCAAGTCTTCTCTACCAGCAATTGAATATGCAATGCTTGAATACTTGGAAATTATAAATCGCATTATGGAAAAAGTCGATTTGGTTGGGTACGTGAGCTGTCGAATGGAGTAAAAATTCTAATCATGTGGCAGGGATGAAGTCAATAACGTTCCAAATTCCACAATGAAACCGGTGTAGCTTATTCTTGGCGTGAAACCCACCGTGGGCTAGTACAAAATGTTAGATTCATATTGTTTTTGTTGGATATCAAGAAAAGCAACCACGAAACATAATTAGCTTAAGAAATTGTAGATGACATCAGCAAACCCAACTTATCTTTGTCTTAACGGTAATACTCCAGTTAACTCTCAGTTAACTATAGTTACAAATGCATATCAATGTGACTGTTTATGAGAAATGGAGTTCATTTTCAAATGGATTCCTAAGTGTTTATGAGTCTCAATCACTTTCATGGTATCAAAGCAAGTTTAGCAAGTACGTAGTTTATTTTGATAGTAGCATTGCTGAAGAAAGATCATAGTTGAGCAGTGGAGAGGCAAACAAGCTAGAAGGAGAGAGCAATTATCATGTATGGAGGTAAAAAATGAAAGCTATTCTTCGTAAAGAGTATTTGTGTCATATTGTAGAAGCAAAAGTAATTCATGTTACTTTTCTTGCCACAATCAATGGTCAAGTCTTGATTGAAGTTGCTCTTAGGAAAAACAAGTACAAAGCGCATACGAGTATTCTTATTTCAATAAAGGACGAATTCAAAAACAATGTCGTAGAGAAACCTGATCTTGCTAATGTCTGGGAGATGTAACAAAACATGTTTCATAGTGGAGATCAGTTGCAAATTCTTTTGTTAACCACAAAACTTCACTCTATGCGGATGAAAGAAGGAGGAGATGTGGAAGAGTATCTGAGGCATGCGAAGAAGTTACATAACAAGCTGGCGGCAATCGGAGAACGAATACCCGAACAAATGATAGTTAACATCGTAATGAATGGCCTACCTCAAACTTTCAAAGGTTTGATTATGAGTATTAACACACTGATACCGCTTCCATCTTTTGTTCAAGTAGTTGGAAAAGTGATTAATGAACACCATAGGCTTTAGTTGCGTGCATTACACTTTGGTGATACAAATGAGGAAGCACTAGCCATTATACAATGGAAATACAATCAATCTTTTCATATAAATAGAAGAGGCAATTTTTACCGTAGCCAAAGAGACGCAATACTTTTTAAATTAAGGTAAGTCATAGCAGTTCTGGTGACAAGAAATCTGAGCACGATAAAATCGTTTATTGCTTTGTGTGCGACAAGCCTGGGCATATTGCTCAAAATTGTTTTTATTGTAAGGGACCAGTAATCCCTCATCCAGTCAATATGGTGAGTAAAGAATCAGAATCAGACACCAAAACTTCATGTAAGGCAAATAGTTTCAAGGTAGATCTAGCAGAATTTTAGAATTCAACAAAATGGTACATGGATTTTGGATCTAGTGTTCACATTACACAGCAGGAGCAATTTCTAGAACACACAAAAATAGTCGAAGGAAAAACAATTATAACTGCTGGGGTGAGTGTCACAAGATCTTAAAAAATGCAAGGTTAAGTTTAAAGCCGGTGATGATGAAATAAAAATTATGGATGTTCTCTACTCACCTTCTATTAAATGTAACTTGTTATCTGTAGGATTTCTTACTAATATAAGAAGAGTTCTTATGTTCACCGCAACTAATGTTTACATTCTTGATAACATATACAGGTCGAAAGTAGTTGCATTTGGAGATCAAGATAATCATAATGGTTTATACAATTTATACAATTTGGTAACTGCGTGATATCAAACCAGCAGATTAATTATACAACGATAAATGATCTGCTGAAAATATGGCATAGGATGTGTAGACATCAAAATTACTTCGCACTTTATTGTCTTTCAAAATTGCAACGCATAAAAGGTCTACATACTTTGCAAAACAACAGAACAGTTTGTCATAATTGATTGGCAAGGAGACAACACCGCAAGAGTTTTTTAAAAGTTAGTGAAACTAGTGCACTTATATAAACCAAGTCATTCATGCGATCTAGTAGGTCCTATAAAAATTGCCTCATTGAACGGATCCAAATATTTTGTCGCTTCCACTGATGACAAAACAAGAAAAAGCTGGATATATTTTATGAAAGAAAAATAAAAATCTCTTAAAAAACTTAATTTTTTTAAAGCAATGACTAAAGCACCAATTGGGAAGAAAAATTGCATTCTTTGCACTAATAAAAAAGGTAAGTTTCTCTCAAAAGAATTTGATGGATTTTTGGAGGTTCATGGAATTAGAAGGCATCTAATATAAGCCATCACACCCCCTCAGAATGAGGTAGCTAAAAGACAGAATCAATTATGAATCAAAAAAGCTCGCAGTTTGTTGCATGAAAGAAGATTGCCGATGTTTCTTTGGAGCAAATTGATCAATACAACTAATTATATACTAAATCGTAGTGCCACAAAACCAAATAATGGTATTACTCCAGAACAAAGGTATACAAAACATAAACCAACCCTTGATCATAAGATTTGTCGCCTTTATCCACATTCCAAAACATAATTGACAGAAACTAAATACTAAAACCAAAAAATGCATGCTAGTCGGCTGCGATGACAGGAGCAAGTTGAATTGTTTGTATGATTTGATAAACAAAAAGTTTCTTTTGAGCAAAGATGTTGTTTTCGACAAGATGCGAGTTGGACACAAACATGTAGCACCTGCCAACCATTTGCAATCAACATCTATTGATCATTTTCATGTAGCAGCTAAAACATTCAAATCTCAACATATTGCGGAACAACAAATTCAATAGTGTATTGATTTTTTGGCAGAAGATGAAACAAGCTTAATATCATCTCCATAAAGTTCAAAACAAGAGGATTTAGTTTCTAGTAATCATGGCATGACTAATAAATCAAGCAAATCATATCAACAAATCTCAACGGTAGTGCAAAGATCAATACGACTTTGCAAACCAAATACAAATTGAAGAAATTATTATATTCTGTCTTCACAAAACTATGCCAAAGCCATTTTGCATCAAAATTAGAAACATGCAGTTCAACTTGAAATTGATGCGGTAAATAAGATTTACACATGAGAACTGATTGAGACACCAATCGACGTACATACAATCCAATGATGGTGGATTTTCAAGTCAAAGCAAAATAATATTGATGAAAAACCAAAACTCAAAGCTTGAATAATTGCTTGGGGGGACAAACATATTGTAAGAATTCATTATTTTGCAACCTTTGCTTCAGTGGTATAGTGGTCTACAATTAGATTCATATTAGCTCTCTCTGCAAGTTGCACTTAGTTCATTTGACATCTAAACGTGAAGACAACTTTTTTAAATGGAGTATTAACTGAAGATGAGTATATGGAAGTACTCAAAGGGTAGGCATCCCAAGCAATAACAAACAAAGTATGTTGACTAAAATAAGCATTATATGACTTGAAGTAGGCTCTCAGAGCGTGATTTTCAAACATTAATAAATATTTACAATAAAAACAGCTACATCAAAGTAACAAGGATATAATTTATACTACTCTATTTGCAGTAAGAAGTATACTATTTTATTATTATATGTGGATAATTTGTTGTTAATAGGTGATGACACCAAGAATATCAATGATATCTAAACAAGCTTGATGAATAACTATGAGATATCAGATTGAGGACAAGCTCAAATTTATCTTGGAGGAGAGCTTGAA